AAGGCCTGGAAGCTCAATTAGCGGTCGCATATCAGCAGGAAGAGATATATTGGAAGCAGAAGCCAATGAACAGCTGGCTGCGGGAAGGGGATGCAAATACGAACTACTTCCATATAACGACTGCTCAACGGAGACGTCAGAACCAAATAGAGTTACTCCGAGATGAATCTGGGGGGATCCACATTGAAGAGCCAGCTAAAGGTAATGTCTCTGTTACCTATTTCATGACTCTCTTTTCCTCTAATGGCAATTCGTTCCATTTTCTAGTGACAGCCCTTGGACTTCCTCGAAAGGTAAGCTCCACACAAAACAGATTTCTCCTAGACCCAGTATCCAGGGAAGAGATCCGAACAACAGCCTTTAGTATTGGTGCTACCCAGGCCCTGGGTTCAGATGGATTTACTGTTGCGTTCTATCAAGCGTATTGGGATGTCATTGGTAACTCAGTCTGTGTAGCTGCTTTGTCCTTCTTTAGATCCGGACGTTTGTTACACAATTTTAACCACACGTTGATCACTTTGATTCCCAAGGTCCCCAATGCAGATTCGATGAGACAGATGTGACCAATTGGTTTATGCTAGGTCTTTTATAAGATTATCACAAAAGTGTTATCTTCTAGATTGAGCCAGGTGCTGCCTTCTGTGATTAGTGACACCCAAAATGGCTTCGTCAAAGAAAGGGACATCTCGGATAATATTCTTATCGTGCAGGAGGTGATGCACTTTCTCAAGAAGAAATCCCAAGGTAGAGATAAATGGATGGCATTGAAGCTCGATATGGAAAAAGCTTACGACCGAGTGGAGTGGAACTTCCTCTTTGCTGTAATGGAGTCACTGGGATTTGACTCTTCCTGGATCAGCCTTATCAAGGCTTGTGTCTCCACTGTCACCTTCTCAGTACTTCTGAATGGCAACACTCATGGATATTTTTATCCCGCACGGGGTCTCCATCAAGGTGATCCATTATCTCCCTCCTTTTTGCCATTTATACTGAAGCATTCTCCACCCTGATCTCTAATGCTCTGGCGTCGCAACAATTACATGGTCTGAAAATTAACCTTTTAACTCCAACGAATTCCCATTTGTTATTTGCTGATGACACATATTTGTTTTTGCGAGCCTCAACCACGGAATGCACACAACTGATGCAATTACTTGGTCTCTATAAAGCTGCGAGTGGCCAGAAAATCAATTTGCGGAAGTCAAAGGTCTGCTTCAGCTCCTAGGGGTGTACATGGGTCGGGTGGTCCGGGTTTAGGCATTTTAATCACCCGACCCATGCACTACGGTTTGGGAAATATTAAACCCAAACCCACCCAAAAAAATCTAAACCCTACGGTTTGTTTTTAATTGGGTTGGGTCGGGTTGGCGATATTTTTAAGTAAAAACCCAACCCAACACAAAATATGTAATTATTCTACATCATAAAAATATTTTATAACAAATTAAAAATTCAAACGAATAAACCGAGGCGAAAGGTATCAAAATTCACAAATATTGTTTGAATTTTAATAAAACTTGATTTACTTCAACTTATGTCTAACTTTTAAAATTGTACACAAGAAAAAAAATACGTGAATCATAGCTATATTAAATATATGTCTAAACTTTAAGTCGAAGAATGCATTAGATTAGTGAGACTTTAAGATAAAAACATGGCGAAATATCTTAATTTTCTCATAAGTATGACTATATACGACATAAATATTTTTTTGGATACGAACTCATACCCATAATTGGAACACGGGTTGGGTCGGGTTCTACGGGTTGTGTAATCCAAAATCCAAACCCAACCCAAAAGAGGCGGGTTGTACAAAAGAAAACCCTCACCCAACCCAAAACCTTCGATTTAGCGATAAATACGGGTGGGTTGGGTCGGGTTGGACGGGTGGGTCGGTTTGCGGGTGTGTTTGTACACCCCTATCAGCTCCAACGTTTCAGCCCAAGAAGCTTCAGAGTTGGCGACCTTGCTGGGAGTGGATTCCATTAGTGCCTTGGACAGATACCTTGGCTTACCTGCTCAAGTGTAACGATCCAAAGTTCAGACCTTCCGATTTATTGAGGATGCATTGGCTAAGCGGATACTCAGTTGGAAGTCGAAGTCATTTTCCTTGGCAGCAAAGAAAGTGGTTATAAAAGTTATCGGTTCAGCAACCCCGGTGTATGCGATGTTGTCTTTTCGCTTACCAGCCACCTCGTGTCGTCGAATGAATGGACAACTCTCCCGTTTTTGGTGGGCGAGCCAGGACAAGGAGAAAGGGATCCATTGGATTTCCTGGTCAGCAGTGTGTGTGACTAAGTTTAGGGGCGGATTGGGATTCCGGGATTTCGACTTATTCAACGTAGCCATGTTGGCTAAACAAGCTTGGAAGACCCTTAAATCCCCAACCTCAACATTAGCCAAGATGTACAAAGCGAGGTATCACCCCCATTCTTCGTTCCTTACTACTCCAACGGGGACTCACCCATCTTGGGCGTGGCAAGGCGTCCTCAAAGGTCGCAAGCTACTGTGCAAAGGACTTCGGTGGCAGGTCGGGTGATCCTTGGCTACCCACTTCTCCTCCCTCTTCGCCGATTCTCTTGCCTGGAGTTCAACTCCCGAATCAGTTCGTGGCTTCCTTGATCCATCCCCTGTCCCGCACTTGGAACAAGGATCTGCTCTGTGATTACTTTACCAGTGACAGCATCAAGTTGATTTTATCTATCCCCCTTCCATCTTCGCCTAGGCCTGACAAATTTATGTGGCATTATTCTGATACAGGGGAATACACAGTGAAATCTGGCTATCACCTCCTCTCGGAGTAACGAGCAGAGATGTTCACCAACCTCCCGCCGCATCTTGATTCTCAATTTTGGAAATCACTCTAGAGCTTGTCGGTTCCTCCCAAACTCAAATTCTTCCTGTGGAGGGTTGTTAGAGGGTTCCTTACATGTCTAGAAATTATGCAGCTTAAATCCCTAAGTGATTCGAATGTTTGCCTTATTTGTTCTTCGGCTGTAGAGTCCATCTCTCATGGCCTCTTTGACTACAGGGTAGCTCGAGGGGTTTGGAGCTTGGCTGGGAAAGAACGCATCAGAGTAGTGGTGGCGAATCTCTCCCCTGACATGGCTTGGTCTTGTATTTTTAATTCACTGCAGCTCAACAAGCTGGAGATGGCGGAGATTCTGTTCCTTATATGGAGAACCTAGAAGGCTCGCTGCTGGTCCTGTTATGATCACGTTCAGTATCTGCCAGCTCCTCTTCTCCGACAATTCTGCAGCAAAGGGACGAGTGGATCGCGGCAGGCGCGCAGGGCAGGAATCCTCCTGGTCGTTCCTCATCCACCACGCCTTCTCCTGCTTGCCCACCAAGGGGTTTGCTAATTCGCTTTGATGGGGCTACGCGCCGAGAAGTTGGGGGCAGCATCGGGTTTGTGGGTATCTCGGCATCAGATACGATCGTCCATGCCTACGGTAAGTATTATGAAGGTTTATTCGATCCGTTCTTGTTGGAACTCATAGCTTTAAGAGATGCGATGGAGGGGTGTTTAATCCGGGCTTTTACGTCTGTTTGTTTTTGTGGTGATTCCCAGATGGTGATCCGGCGAGCATCGGAGAATGAAACTCAGCATAATTGTGGCGGGGCAATTCTTGAGGAAGTTCGGTTGCTGAAATCTTCGTTCGCGTTTATTCGTTTTGTTTTCTCTCCTCGTAGAACTAACAGAACTGCCCATTGCGTGGCGAAAACGGCTCTTGCATCGGTAGATCGGCGATTGGCTGACTATCGCTACTTATTTTCCAGCTCTTTGTAATTCCCTATCTAATTACATACCTACCTAAGTAAAAAAAAAAAAAACATAGATGGAGACATGGAGTGGCTATTATGTAGACTTTAAGGGTAAAATACATCGGATGCCATTTAAGTTTGAAAATTGGGGTAGACATATCATTTAAGTTTGAAAATTGGGGCAGACATATCATTTAAGTTTGAATAGGCGTCAGGTACCATTAAAGTTGTCAAAATGTGTATCCGTTTACTTTTACATCCAACCCAAAATTTTAATTACTTTTTGATACCCAAAACTTTTAAAAACATCCAAAACTATATTTCAACAAGGTTTATCTAATATAATAATTAGAAAACCTTCTAAACATATTATTACTAGAATGACCAATAAAAAATTTCCAATAGAACATAAATTAGTAAAAATAGTAAACGAATATCAAGAAGAATAATAAATATGCTAGAATATAATAATAAATATTAAAATATCTATTTAAACCCCCTAATTCAATTAGAAGTACCATTAGAAATAGTTAAAATAGTTTCACTAAAACAAAATAGTTAAAATAGAACCTAATCGATCATCAATACATCAAAATCAAAAAAGGATAAATGGAACACAATGAGAAAGAATTAAACATATTTTACTAATTGAAAAAATTTAGAACGAAAAGAGATGAAAAGTAACCAAGTAATAAACAAAGTATAAAAGCTACAACATTCGGTAAAAAGTATATAAAAGAACATATGACTATAAAAGCTACAACATTGTTTAGTTACAATATTCATGGAATAATTCAATTATTAGAACATATAATTATAATTGAATATAATTATAATGATAATGGATTCTAAAATTTCTATTCAAAAATTGGTCTGGTATCAAGTATTAAAAAGAGGATTCTAACTAAACAATAAAAATGATATTTTTCATAAGTCCAAATGATTTTCTTACAATAAGAAAAGTAGAAGGACCAATTATGAAATTGAGAAAATGGAATATTCCAAGAATATTCCATCAACTTTACCGGAATGCACTTAACAGTAAATTTAAGTGGTACCGGGTGCACATATAATAGCGCTCAGTGGTACCCGATGCCCTATTCAAATTTAAGTGGTATTTCTATCCCAATTCTCAAAATTAAGTAGCACACCCGAGGTATTTTAACCTAGACTTTAACAATAGCCAATGATAAATGTCTTAAATATAAAAATTAAATGACTGATTTCTCAGTGGCCTCATAATCCAGTGACCATTTCGGTAATTAATGATCCTCGAATGAATAACCCATATGAAACCAGTCCAGTTGTGGCCAAAACCGATCAAATAGTGGGGGTGGAATAATGAGAATAGTAGGATTGACGGGAGGAATCTCGTCCGGGAAGAGCACCGTCTCCAATCTTTTCAAGTCCCATGGTATTCCGGTCGTCGACGCCGACGTCGTTGCTCGGGTGAGTACTGAATACTCAAACCTTTCTCATTCTCTTTGCATCCGCCGACTTTGTAATCATCATCAATCTTCCGTCTCTTCACTTTCATTCAACTGATCGGTCATTCCTCTCTATCTCTAGCTACCTTGATACAGCTTGATTCCCCCTCTTCTCTTAGTCTTCCTTTCCATGAACTCTGACATTGCGAAATCTCGGGCAAAATTGGGACAAGCAGTCAAATACTACACTATGCACTATTGTCAAACGAATTAGGGGTTACTTTTGGTCTCTGCTGTTAGCCCATCGTAATTTTTGTAGATTGTTGCAATCATCCTTGCACTAGCTTGCCTGAAATTGCACGAGGAGATTCAGTTAGCACTTGGATTTCCCTGTGAATTTCGACCGCTGGCGTCTGGTAACAAAACGCATATAGTGCAGAGATCGTTTCACCTGATTACCTGAATAAAAGTCTTTTACTTTGTATCTGGATAGCATTCATTTCACAGGATGATTGGTTTGCTTGGTTCCTAAATTTCTTTTTGACACTAACCGATTCTTGGTTGTAAGTTCTTGCCATTGATCAGTGTGCTTACTTAGAAGTAACTTGGCATATTCAACTAGCAAGTCTGCTGCACCTGTGATGTGACCCTATCTTTGGGTTTTCGTGTATAAGAAAGATATGATCTTCTCGCTGGTGATGTGGACTCTGAGCACTTCATATACTGTACAGGATGTTCTGAAGAAGGGAACAGGAGGCTATAGAAGAGTTGTTGGTGCATTTGGGGAAGATATTTTGCTACCCAATGGAGAAGTTGATAGGGCTAAGCTTGGCCAGATTGTTTTCTCCGACCCTGGAAAGCGCCAGCTTCTTAACAGGTCAATAATGAATCACCTACTCCAAGTTCCGGTTCATCTTCTGAAAATTACTGGGTCTTGAAAGACTAACCATGCTGTGTGGATTTTCTGCCACTTGTTTTCAAATCCTTGCTTAATGTTGATGGAGTTTTCATGAAAGTTTTTGTATATATCTTGACCGGTTTTTTATTTTGCCTTCCTTGTAGGTTATTGGCTCCCTACATATCCTCTGGGATCTTTTATGAAGTTCTGAAGCTATGGCTAAAAGGTAACAAGGTCATTGTTCTCGATGTTCCTCTTTTATTTGAGGCCAAGATGGATAGGTGGACAAAGCCGACTGTTGTTGTATGGGTGGATCCAGAGACACAGTTACAGCGGCTTATGGCGAGAGATGGCAGTAATGAGGAGGATGCTCGAAATCGGATAAATGCTCAAATGTCCCTTGATCAGAAACGGTCGAGGGCCGACATTGTGATCGACAACACTGGGTCATTAGAGGATTTAGAAGAAAATTTCAGGATTGTTTTAGTTCAAGTCACGAGGCCATTGTCGTGGACCGAGTTTTGGCTTTCGAGACAGGGAGCTCTGGTGTCTCTGCTTTCCATTGTTATTGGAGTAGTCGGTGGCAAAAATCTCTACAAGGCATCATTATAAAGAAACCTCATAGTTCATCCGGATACTTGCAAGTACTTGCGTGCTCATGCTGTATACTGAAACACTTAATTCTATTTGGCTTCCTGCTAGTTGGGAACAAGGTGTTGTTTGGGCGAATTCGGGACCTTAAACCTTGATTTATGCTTGCTTCTTAACTTGTTCTTCTAAAATAGCTTTTCGTTGGTGGAATTTGTTTGTGGCTACTGTATATTAAGCCATATTGCTGCTGTTGGGAACTGGGGTGATGCAGAGAAGGAAAGCGTGTATGGCAAATTGGCAATGTTCAGGTGATATTCCCATCTTGTAACTGAAATTTATGCTGAGGTCCTCATGGGCCGTTTGGCAAATCTGAAAGGCCCAAGTATTGCCCTTGAAAAGCCCAAAGCTTCACCCGTTGCCGTTTTGCCCATTTCGGGTTTTGATCTTCGTCCCCCAACCAAGTTACCGTCCGGCTCAATTTGTGAACAACTGAAAAGCTCTGAAAACCAGAGGAAGGGAAAAGGTCAGAAACCGATTGGGTTGGGGTTTATCCCTGTGCTCCGACATATCTCCCCTTCCTTCCACAAAGCAGAACGCGCGGCAGCCATGAAAGCGCTCTTCAGATTGAACCTCGGTCTCCTGGCAACATCACGAGCCGGAAAATGCTTGATACCACCGGCTCCTCTCATCTCCATTTCTAAGTTCGGGAACTCCTCCTACCTAGACTCCAGAGCTCACAAATCTCTGTCTTCTTCTGCCGCAGCCAGAGCGGGTTGGATTCTGGGTCTTGGCCAGAAGAAGAAACCGGTCTTGCCAGAGATAGTAAAAGCTGGTGACCCAGTGTTACACGAACCAGCTCGTGAAGTTGAGCCAGGGGAAATCGGTTCGGAAAGGATACAGAAGATCATTGATGACATGGTGAAGGTTATGAGGGTAGCTCCAGGAGTTGGGCTGGCTGCTCCGCAGATTGGAATCCCATTGAGGGTCAGGTTTCTTCTTTTGAGCTTTATCCATCCATGATAGCGTTTCTGGGTGAACTGTATATTTATCGAAATTTTAGTGAAGCTCCTAGTTGTAGATATATTCCTAGGTGGTTGAACTGCATTCCCACTGTGATTATCAGGATGAAAATTCAGTCAGCTCTTTTACTTCGATCTGCTGATTAGTTCTTGTATGTTGATTTTAGCTATGGCCACAATGTGGGAACTTGTGATTCCTTGAGGGTTCAAACATTGGGAGTCTCTGTCAGATTGGAATGTGCCTGCATTTATCTGTTGCAAGTACTCTACTTACTAAATAGTTGTTGGTCGTTACTTACTCAAACTTCTTGCGCAATTGATTACCACAATGTCTGGTTTTGTGGATTTCACACTTCTAATGGATTGAATTAAGCTAAAGTGCTATAACCTTCGGTAGCATTGGTTTTTAGTTGTAGTTTTCCAACCTCTTTAGTAGCACTTAGATAGGAGGGGGGAGATCCCTTCTGAAACCTTTGGTTTCCTTTATCTGGGTCACTACTGGAATTTTTTTGGATTGGTTTGTACCTTATATAGTTCCAAGAAGTTCGTCAGCGACAAAAATTGCCAAGGATGATGGTTCCAAACACGGCTAGATTTTCCTCAGTTGTGATTGCTCGAATTATATGAAAGATCTCTGAATAGACCACCCATTGTTATACAATTTGGCTACAGTTCAACTTCACCCATTTGGTCCTCTTTCTTTAATTTGCCCTTTTCTGGTTTGTGTTTATTGTTGTATGCAATTGAAATGATAAGTGGAGATAATTAGAAACAAACTACTTAAGCCCAGAGTCTGATATCCTGTTCTGCAGCTATCATTTTCTCTGTTGATGTTCTCAATTCGATGTTCTTATTACTATTGTTTGTGAAGGATATAATTATCTCTCTGCATTTTCTGAAAAAAGCATCAGCATTTCCTTGGCTGCAGATAATAGTATTGGAAGATACACAAGAATATATTAGCTATGCACCAGAAGAAGAGATTAAAGCACAGGATAGGCAACCTTTTGACCTTCTGGTATGTTGTGCAAGTTCAAAAGGTTCTGTTGTATGTGCTAAACAGTTATATTCATGTCGTATGACTTTTTTCCCCACAGTTTACAATGGCTTAGTTGTTTTGAGGCAGGTGATCCTGAACCCTAAGCTCAAAAAGAAAACCAACAAGACTGCACTGTTTTTCGAAGGTTGTTTAAGGTAATATTTCAAAGACTGCACATGATCTGTGAAATAGTGCCATGTAAGGTTCCTTCTATTGCATCATTAGACAAAACTTTTAGAAAAGTTGGGTTTTTTCAGCTGTCATTGATTTCTTTCATGGGTTTCCTTGTTGTAGTGTTGATGGATTCAGAGCAGTGGTGGAGCGTAATCTGGAAGTCGAGGTTACAGGGTTGAGCCGTGATGGTGCACCCATCAAGGTTGAAGCATCCGGGTGGCAGGCTCGTATCTTACAGCACGAGTGCGATCATCTGGATGGAACTCTCTATGTGGACAAGATGATGCCCAGAACATTCAGAACCGTTGACAATCTAGACTTACCCCTTGCAGACGGCTGCCCCAAGCTCGGCGTGCGCAAGTAGGTCCAACCAATCCCATCATCATTCATCTGAAAGCGAGCGAAAGGCTTCGAAGGCCGGTTGAGAAACAAAAGTATGACTACTAGTTCATGTGCTGCTCTGATTATTCTTCGATTCAGACCAAACATCCATCGATTTCGCTGGTGCAATGTGTTCTGATATCTCTAGTATTAATTTACAATCCTTAAAGCAGCAAATGTCTGGCTAACAGTGATTCCACATTTTTCCTCTTACAACTAGTACACACATATATATACACAAGCCGCAAAATACAGTCGAATGCTTTGATAAGCTGGTTCTGGTTTCATCTTTTGAATGGAGATCGGGATCTTTTGCTGGACATACCGCCGCCGCCGCCTTTATCCCTGCCATCCCAAGCTGAATACCAGAAGAAGAGAGACATCCATACAAATACCGCAAAGAATATCTGAGCCCTTTCCTGGAATCTAGATATACCCTCCACTAAACCTGCACCACAAGAAGCAGCAGCCACTCACCACCTCAATATACCATTTTTCTGCAGATATGTGTTGTGTTAACCTACACCAATTTACAAGCTCGGAGCTTAAATGGGTGGACTTTAGTACCAACTGAAGTTGGCAGTCGCCATAGAATATGGAGGAGAGGAAGAGGACCATGGAAACAGAAATATGCAAAAGCGTGGAGGGATTGATTTGGATTCTCACCTCCGAGTGTGAGCGATTCGTTATCGGGAGGCGGGTCGGATTGCGGCGGCAGCTGAGCGAACAGGCGGGAGCGAAGGCGTGTGTATGGGTTGAGGTTTCTGCAGCCTCCAGTGAAATAATAATTACTCGCTAATATAGGAAGATGATGATGTGAGGGCGAGAATAGAATTTGGGTATAAATTTCCGGAATCGCTGGCGAACGGCGGAGTGGGCTTGCGCCGCTGCCGGCACAGCTGCCGCTGGTCCAGAAGCAGCGGGCCGCCATCTCTTTCTTTTCTCTGGTGGAAATGAATACAACGAAGCTTTACCTTAACGTAACAGTTAACATTTAACAGGAGTACACAACAGCTTACTATCTTTCCCTTTCCGCTTTTTGCATGGTGAATATCAATTTGATCATCAAACTCACATAGATGTGTTATTTGGACATCAAACTCCTTTTCTCGAGTTAATCACAGTACTCGATCGATTAGATTGTACGAACCACCGTTAGCTTGCATGTGTTGTTCCAATCATTATGAAAACTCATTTATAGGCGGTTCTTCATTTTTTTCTTCCCTGTGGGAGGATCAGTCTATTAATAAATTGGGAATTACAATTGGACCAGTTTAAAGAAAGGTTAACTTGAAACAACATGGATATGGAAGTCCATCATCGATCGACAACTCACAAAGAGAGAAAAGAGTATGAAAATAAGATGGCATAGTAAGTGGATTGGTTCATTTTGAGCTCCAAATTTTCACATCATTAATTTTTTCACAATAGGCGTGCAATCTAGATTCTTGGGCACAAGAATAAAGACAACCTGGTGGTCTTTGAACAACCAAGTAGACATAACATGCTAAACATCCACTTAAGATTAATAAATAACATTTTGACCACCATTGACATAGTAAGTATGTAATTGAAGAATTTATTTATTAGAATCAGAAGAAAAAAAATAGAGGTTTTGCTGAATTTGTAAGAGTATATAAGAGATCAGAGATGAACATAGACATAAATCAAATTTAAATCGAATTTGGATGAATTGAAAACCCAGTAGTCTTACCCAATTTCAACAATCAATGCATCCACTATAGACGTGAAACTTGTTGGAATTCAAAGGAGACAAATGAGTCTCGAACTAGTCCCAAGGAATTCCAAAGGTAGTTTTCCAATCAAAACTCCTCTAACGCCTAATTTGTTAATGGGATGCGGCTTCTCATCTCCCTATTAATTTTGATTAATTGAAACAAATGATGAACGCAACCGACATATCACAAATCAACACTTGTAGTGTAAGGAAAACCAAGCAGACATTGATGATTAACTTATGCATTCAAAATCCTCCTCTTTGTGGGGGGACAATATTCCTCTAACCCCTTCAATTTCGGCAATATGGGATAGGGAACTATGGCTACCACGTCCGATGCAGTTGTTTCATGACTGCCAACGTAAGAGTATCTTGTGGGACTACGGTTGAAGAAGAAACATCACAGCTTTCAATGCTATGTGTCGTGATTTCGTCAACTGGAGGGGAGTAGGTTTGTGGTTGCGGAGATTGAAGGTCGCAAGATTATGATGCGGAGCTTTAGCGAGGCGGCGATGGGTGTGCTGGTGGTCAAGATAGTAATTTGGACTCATTAACTCTTCTAGAGGATTTTACTTCCGCGTTCTGCAAACCGTCAGAAAACAGCTTCCCTAAATACCCTTCCGAGAATTGGTGTGGAGGCAGTAAATTTGAAATGGAGGTCACACTATTTATAAAGATAGATAGAAATTTAGATTAAATATTAAAGTACAATTAAAATAATCAAAATATAAAAGTCGAAGTATACTAAGTGAAGATTTAGTGTGCTAGATAACTGTTGGAAAGTCTTGAAATTTTCTGATTTTAGCTTCATGTATGCTTTTTATTTAAAGAGATACAACAAATCTATATAATGTGATTGGTTATGATCATTGTCTTTATTTGAAATGAGATTGGTTCAAATTCAGTATTATTTGAGCAAATTTGAACGAAGATACATTTTTCCATTTTACATACTATGTGTGTAGACTAATTACATCATCCTATGCCAACCATGTTTAAGCTAGTGTATCAAAAAGGGAATTCCCTGCCGTTTGCTTAAAGATGGTTCTCTAAGCAGGATCTTTCTTTCCAAATGGAAACCCGCTACTAATATAAAAAGTAAGAAAATGTGTATTGTTTAGGGCGGGCTGGCCCCAGCTAAGTACGCAGTTGGGCTTGACCTTCTATCCATCAGCCTGGGTCCACATAACATAGCTGCAGCCTGCAGCAGGGTCTTCCCATTCAAAATTGAAATGTGAACAGCTAGCTATTGCCCTATCACCCTCAATTTCAAATTTATACTAACCAAAATTAAAATACTCCCAACCCTACTTGAATAATTCATAAATGCAAACAAACCACCAACTTGCAAAACGGGAAAAACAAAGAGAATGGTGGCTTGGTCACACTCCTATGAATGTGTAAAACATGTTTGTTAGATCAGTCGAGTCAAATCGGAATTAATTGTCAACTCATCTATAACTGTTTAGCCAAAACCAAAATGAATAATCGATTTTGGTTGAACCCAACTAGTTTTGGTTTTTTAATCATATTCATGCATTTACGATTCATGTGACGGTATTGATACTCCTAAAAGGAGTTCTATTTGCCCGCAGCTCTCGTTTGATACCGAATAAAGCAAGAATTGTATTGACGTGTAATTGTCTTATTTAGTAGGGTGATTAGACAATATATAATCTAGCTCGCTTATTTATCAACTGACATATCGACTGATTTACGACACTTAAAATTTTCATACCGAATTAATTAACGAAATGAGTTAGAACTTATAAAAGTATTATTTTAAAGAAGAAAGGAATTGAATTGGAAAACAGTTGAAAATTGGCAAACGAAGAGAAAGAGGGAAAGACTTCCTTGCCTTGCCTCCCACTCTTTCCATCTCCATATCCGTTCTGTTCTGTTCTGTTCTGTTCTGTTCTGTCTGTTCCTACGTGAAAACTGAAAAAGCAAGGAAAAGGGAAAAGAAGGAAAATGGAAAGCACATTCATTCCCCACCAACCCAATAAAAAATAATGTAAAACAGAAGTTCAAAAGAGAAAAAAACATTCGAGGTTGGCAAGGGACAAGCGAACCGCAGATACAAATTGTCTCTCTAACCGCAACAGCACCAGCGTTACTTGGCATCGCAAATTAACTCCGGCTGCTGCTTCAGTTGTTATTACATACTCTTTCCTTTTTGCTCACTCTCTCGCCCACCGACGACTTATTACAGCGAGCCCACAACACGCGTAGAGCAAGGAGCAAGGTGGGAAAGAAGAAAGGCGTCGGAAAAGTTGGCGTCTTGGCCGGTTCAGGAGTAAAATTATGGGATTTGGTTCTATGATTTGTTGTGGAAAAGGATTAGATCGGTACGTTTATTGCTCCTTACAGTCTGTCCTTGGTTGTGCTTTGCATCTTCTCCCCGTTTGATTGATGAATTGCTGCTGTGAGCGAGAACCTCTTTGTTATTCTGATTTTCTTCATTCTGGGATGGGTTGAGGTTTTTGTTGGCTTTCGTCGTATCAATCATATGGGTTCTGAAATTGGATTTGATTTTTGATATGGTGGAGTGTTGGGTCCTGTAAATTGGCTGATGTTTCTTCGTGGGTAGTGAAGAACTGATGACCTTTTTTTCAAAAAATTTCTTTTTGCTTTCTGGGTATTGAAATCTACCATGAATTGTTAGCCCATACTACTGTAGTTATAGTTGGAGATGCTTCCTGATTCTCAAATGTTTGTGCTCGCTTGCCTGTAGTGTACATACTACTGAGACATTAAGCTTTTCCTATTGTTCAGGAAAGGGCAAGGCAAGAAGCAGCCAAGTTGGCGGATTTTCTCATTGAAGGAGTTACACGCTGCCACTAACAACTTTAATTATGATAATAAGTTGGGTGAGGGTGGATTTGGAAGTGTCTACTGGGGTCAGCTTTGGGATGGATCACAGGTGAATAGTTTTAGCTTCTCCTTCTCTCTCTATCGTATCAATTCTGCTTACTTGTTGTTGGCATTTGGAACGGCTTTTAGAGAGTGCCTATAGGCCTCTAGCATGAGCTGCAGTAGAGTGCTTCCCGTTTTTTTCCTAACCAAGCACCTGTTACTCGCATAAGATCTCATTGAGGGGCTTGTAGAGGTCCAATTGATCTATGCTATACACTAGAGGAACTTCTTTCTTGTTGCTGAACCATACATCAAACACTTCTCATTTCACTGGTTCAACTATATTATGGTTGTTACATTAAGTGCTTCTGAAACATCGGAATGAATATGCCAATTGTTATTTGTGAGGGGAATGTTTCACAGGAGAACGTGTCCGACTATGTGCCACTATAGTGCATTTCTGCATCATGTCTTGACCATTTGCTGCAACTGCAAAGCTGTTTTAATATGCAACTGCTTTTGTTTTACTGTCTATGAGTTCCGTGAAGCCTAATGGTAGATTGGTAGTAATACCTGAGACTTGGGTATAGGATGGTTACCAAGCTTTAGGTAAATCATCTATTCCCTGCTTGAATGCTGGGAATCAATCAAAACTCCGTAGAAGTGATGGATGTCTTGTGGTTCTAATTGTACAAAAAAGGGATCCTAAATCTAAAATCTTTGACCCTTTGGCTCATTCAAGTTGCTAAAAAAATCAACTCTGCCCACGGGAGCACTAGATCCTTGTTCCTCGTACACCAACATTTTAATCACATGTTTATTATATAAATGTTAAATTAACACTATGAATGGAATGAAACCCCTGCCCCCTTTACTTTCAAGTGAAATAAAATTTAAGGAGTCCTGTTGTTTTGCCTTGCGCAAGACATGAATTCTATGATCCGCAGCCAAAGTATTTACTTGTTGCCACTTCAGAAAAAATTAAAGTCCTTATATAGATGCCAAAAAGAAAAATGGAATTACGGTTCTCTCTAAGAACTTGTTTTTCATAAATACTCTTTCCTGCAATTCAGTTTTCTGAAGGGACGTTTGTGAGTTTTGTTTTCTGGTTGAATTGCTTCAGCATCCTTCTAAGCAATTCCAGATGTAAAAGAAGAGCAATACTGAGTACCTGTCATGTCTATGTAGGTTAGAAATTGGTTTTACATATGATTAAGCCCACGGTAACGTAATTTCTTTAGATGAGATGGCGATGCAGTGTTTAATTTCCTTTGCAGCCGGTTCTTGAATTACAGTTGATTCATAGTTTGGAACCCCAATTGCTACATGTGCCTTCAATAAAACAACTAACGTAGTCATCTGTAAAGAATGCATTCAGCAGTTTCAATTTGGTAAATCAGTCATATGAATCTGTGATTTTCTGAACTCAGTTGTATGCATGAGCTTAACATATCTGGAAATCTAAACATGGTGATTATACAGATTGCAGTCAAGAGGCTGAAGGTGTGGAGCAACAAAGCCGAGATGGAATTCGCTGTCGAAGTGGAAATACTAGCCCGTGTGCGCCACAAAAATCTGCTCAGCCTTAGGGGGTATTGTGCCGAAGGGCAAGAACGTCTTATCGTGTATGACTACATGCCTAATCTAAGCTTACTCTCTCATCTCCATGGACAGCACTCCTCAGAATGTCTCTTAGACTGGAAGAGACGGATGAACATTGCAATAGGCTCGGCTGAAGGAATTGCGTGAGTTTTTCTAAATCCTTGAAAAATTCCTGGTCTTTACTTGTTTGAACCATAGTTCCAGCGTCTGACTTTTGTCTCCCTTCCTTGCCAGCTACCTCCACCACCACGCAACCCCACACATAATCCACCGCGACGTGAAGGCTAGCAATGTGTTACTAGACTCAAACTTTCTGGCCCAAGTTGCAGATTTTGGATTCGCCAAGTTCATCCCCGATGGTGCAACACATGTCACGACGAGAGTGAAAGGCACGCTCGGCTACCTAGCTCCCGAATACGCAATGCTGGGGAAAGCCTCGGAGAGCTGCGATGTGTACAGCTTTGGGATACTGCTGCTGGAGCTTTGCAGTGGGAAGAAGCCACTTGAGAAAGTGAATGCCACGGTTAAACGCACAATCACTGAGTGGGCACTGCCGTTGGCATCCTCCAAGAAGTTCGATGAGGTGGCAGACCCACGGCTGGATGGGAAGTTTGATGCAGAAGAGATGAAGAGGGTTGTTCTTGTGGCTCTGGTTTGTGCACACAGCAAGCCCGAGAAACGACCCACGATGGTGGAAGTGGTGGAGCTACTGAAAGGGGAATCAAAGGAGAAGCTGAGTGAGCTGGAGAATGACGAGCTGTTCAGGACTGCTGAATCATCAGGTTTGGAGGACTCGAGATTACCTGCAGAGGACGGCTCAGATGTGATTTCAGAAGCGAATGATTCTTAGCAACAAAATATATAAATATATGTGCCTATTATGCTTGAGGATCTGGAAGTGTCACTAGTTTGTAAAATGAACTTAGCTGTCGGGTCGTACACAGATGAACCTAGGCTCGTTTTTTTTCCTTTGTGAGGTTTCGACAGATCATGACCTTCGAGTGTGTTTTCTGTTCGCTTGGTTGCGATCTTTTTTGCGCTTCTCATTCTGTGTGTTAATGCTTTCCGACAACCTTCGATGTCAGCTTTGGTTGTCTGGTACATGGATAGATTTTGTTGATGTTGGTAAGTTGTAACACAATGGCCAGGCGGTAAATTACTAAATGTATGTGTAGACAGATTCTTTCAAGGATGATCGATCTTTTCTCTTCATGTAATCTATTTTGTCACGCAATCTTCTAAACCGACCCACTTACCCTATATATCAAGTTATCAACTTACTATTATTTCGACTATGAAAAAATTAGCTTGTGCCTGACGTCTTTGGTACAACTTCTACCAAGCTCGATCCTTCTTTGAAATTGGCCACCTACCATTAGGACTTTATGGCATACCGTCAGGTTCAGGTAGACATCTCCCTTCGTGCCATAGACCACAATACATCTCAGGTACATAGGAAGAAAGAAGAAAATAGGCACAATACAAAGGTTTAGTGGTGCCTACTTCATACTCATCAAGGGCAAGACCAATATGTACAGGTTCGTCATACCATCCCTCGTACACACAGTTCATTTCTACAACAGCTCAACGTCACAAAACTAGCTACAGTCTGACCTGATGGTAGCTTTCCCCTCTACCCCTCGAGTAATAAAGCAAGGAAGCGAGATATTGGGTAAACCCCAAAATATTTCAACACGATGTGGGGATATCGGTGGTTGTTTGACAACTTCGGCTACAAAAAAGTTTCTAACACTTTCTCTAAGTAAAGGTATCCTCCCTGTCTCCTTCAACAGCATCGCCTTCCTCCAAGTTGCTGAACTCCAAGAAATGGGTTGGCCTGTGCTCCTCGTGATAGTACTCCCTTGGCGCCCCAAGCTTTATCCCGTACTTCATGCTCGTTGTGTGCTTGACGCCCATGAAGTTGTAGTTCCATGGGCCGTTATCAGGAACCTAACACACAAAAATCACAGATTGTTAATCACCATTGCTTTGAAGTACTAGGTGACACAGCAACAGAATTTCCGAATGTGAACTAGTATCTCACCATGTAGAATCCGAGGAACCGATCACTCAGCAGCATCTGCACCTTCTCGTAGTGCGTTGGTAGGTAACCGTGAGGGTTGCTCCCAGTATCCTTGTTCACTCTTCCCCAATCGTATCCACTTGGTGTAAGCTTGTAAGCTGTTAGCGAGCAGGACCCAGGAGTGAAACTGCATGTCAAGATTATGCACTTCTCCCCATCCCACTGCTTGTTGTTCTCTAGGATCCGGGCATGATTTGTCAGATCCTGCAAAGAGTAAACACAATTTTACATGCAAGTCAGACAACTGATCAGCAGGCAGCAATATCTACTGGCTGTAGTCACCAAATAACCAACTTCTCAATCAAATACTTAGAAATTCCACCTTCTGCTTTTATAATCTTTCAAATTATTTCAACAGGAACACAGTTGGCTTAACTCTTTCTACACTTCCAAATCTACCCATTTTGCATATACAGAGCTTCCCAAGTCCGGGAGACTGTCTAGTCATTTCCCACCACTCGCATCCTTTAATACTTACATCTACCCTAGAAAAGGCAAAACCTATCATCCCACAATTATGCACCTAATGTAATAATTATTTCACACTATCATCTGCATTTATATTATTTGCTTTAAAGAACACTGAGAAAGCAACAAATACCTGAGGGGATAACTGAGGGAGCTCATTTGGCTGCGTGTGCATCCATCCCAACGGCTCCAAATCCCCAAGGAAATCATGGTCAGGAAGAGCGGAAGGAAGATGAACTTGTTGATGAGTTCCCCACTGTGGCGGCATAGCGATACACCGGATTTCCTTCACCTGTGGGTTATCTGGGGGACTTATACCGTACAAATAACCAGCAATTTGAGTTCTTAGATCTGCAATGCAGATGAACTTCTTCAAAATGTTTTTGGGCATGATGTAAGTATATCCAGTTTCCTGCAGAATCCAGAAGCTTTTGTCAGGTTAGGAATCAAAAAGACTCTTATGCACTAAGGTAATTAATACAAAACATCGTATACAACAGACCTTAATATCCTCTGAATTCACGTATATGTGATTCACTCTGAGATAAAGATTGGTAGCTGAAATAGCTCTAACACGCCAGTCTGTCTTTGAGCCAAAGGCTGCTTGCTCATATGGACTTGTGGTAGTGACAATGAGTTCATCACCGTGCACATTTGTGGTCTTTGTTGTGACAGCTGTCAGTTGGCTAGCCTCCTTGGCCTGAAAAGTCACAGAAATTAATCTTGTCGTCCACCAATAACAGAACAACACGAAAGCAAATATTGAGAGACCCTCTGAATGTACTGTGCAGAGCGACAATAACAATAACATGCAATTGAACAAGTATATCGTTTTTCATGGACACGAGCACATACAATATCAAATGCGTCAAGCCAATTCGATGTAACATACAGGGTTAGGAAATAGTTTATGCAATATATGGAAGTAGGTCCCACATGCATTTTTTTAAAGATCATCTCTGGTTCAGGTAATGGCGTAATGCGTCTACAAATATTTGATGAAAGCATTTCAGACAAATAGCATGCATTTTGAACCAAAAGAGCCCCTACAAGAATTGGAAAGAAATATTACCTGTTTCTCAATCTCAGCTATCTGTTGACGTTGTTGAGAAGGCGGAGTAATCTCAGCACCAAGAATAATATCACGTATCTCTGACTGTGTGAGAGCAGAGGTATTCACATTATTCTTCTTTGCATAATCTGAGAGAATGAGGTCCCTCAAGGCAACCTCAACCTTCATCCATTGATCATCATTGAGAGAAGGCCATATATGGTGGGGCTCAGTGACTATTGTTTTGTCTGGCTTCAGTAACATCTTTGCCTTCTCATTATTGACGTGAAGAGCACGAAGGATTAAAATGAGTCTGGAGAATGCAGTGTAAGATGAGATGCTTTTGAGCCAATCATCATATAAGTTGAACAACACCATTTGAGGTTCTGTTGCCTTCAGAATCAGATCACCAAACTTCTCAATCTTCAGGCATGCCTGGAACGGGAGCTGCAGTTCACTCCCCTTTATGACAATGTTGGGGAAATCGAGCAAGTGGACCTCCAGTGGGTCAAGCATCCCTTTACGTGTGACGATGATCTGCTTTGGTTGTTCTTCAACAGGAAGAGACCGCACAAGAGCTGCAACCTCCTCGGCTGTCTTCCATTTGGCAAGCTGTCCAAGACGTTTCTGTCCTGCCCATACACTAGTGTGGATAACCTGCAAAAGAAAGTTGTGTCAGGAACCTGAAAGAAGGGTTTCCTTTTGGCACAGTCGAAGATAAAGAAAAAAATGTAAACCTTCAGAAACAGTTGGCCAGTCCTTGGGTTGAATATAAAGATTGCACCATTGATGGGCTTTGTAGTGAGATTTCCTTCAAAAGTCTTGTGGATGGTGACTCGGTAAACATTAGTGTCATCCACAAACCATATAATTTGATTGCTGAAGATCTCTCCATAGTTCTGGGATGACAGATAGGGTTCTGTTGGCTCAGAAGAGTACAACTGCAACCCTTTCCTTATTCTCTCTCTCAGCACGTATAAAGCCGGGTTAGACTTCATAATCTTGTTCATCGCCTGAGCCAAAAGTGGCTTGGACCCAGGGAACCAGTTACCAAAGGCAGAATGCAAATTGTAAGCCAGATCCAGTCCAATCATGACACCTGTGGATTAAAAAAGCAACAAACACAAATTAGAATCAGAAAAACAACCCAGGGAAATAAGCTGGAGCTTCTAAACAGGGTAGACTCCATACCAGTTGGAGATGGATATATGGACATGTTATCTGTCGTATAATCCATGAATTTAGCACGTGTGTAACGCTCAATATCATGGGAGTCATAGTCTCCCCATCGAAGCTGCACATCAATCCAATATTTATTACTTGCTTTCTGATCAAAGACATCTTTGGATTCAGCTACCAGACTCGGTTTTGACATGGGCCATCTGTGAGCAGCAAAGAGGAGAATATCAGCACAAGAACTGTTCATCTTGTAACTCTTCCTTGGATGGATCGTCTCCTTCTGTACAGTTTCAATCTCCAAAGCATCCAACTCTTGATCCAAGACTTGACAAAGATCCATAACAACACTCTCATGGATCTTTTGCCACAAGTGAGCACGGAAAATCTGGATCAGTGAAATCTTCAAAGTAGGAATCTTCCCATGCATGAAGATTCCGGTTAGATCCAACTGCACTTGGAAACCCACATAAACGTTGGCTCGATTTATCGTGGGCGACCACCACAGAGTAAACCTACGGTTAGGAATTTGGTTGAGACCAGATCTTTGGGCATTTGTCAACTTCTTATATTTCATAGATTCTTCAAAGCCAGAAGCCTTCTCCCAGAAGAGCCCTTCCCATGTAGGGAAGCTGAAATTTCAAAACAAAATTGTTACAACAATGGCTCGCCTTAGGAACACGTTAATATTAGTCAAGAGAAGATGCAGCAGATAGATATCAAATACAGCTTAAATAACACTCAATATCATGTGTCAACCAGACTAGCAGAAGAATAATATAACTACTTACTAGGTTCCTTTGAATAATGTGTGCTCCAAAATTCCTTCAACACCACCAAGGGCTTGAATAACATCAGTCCGGTAATTGTTCAAGTTCCACAATTTTCCATCATGCCTCTGGTGTGTCCACCAGAAGGGATTCTGCTTGAGGACTTGGTATTGCTTGAAATCTGTCCGAACTCTCCAGCCTTTGTCATAAGCCAATGTGTGACGGTCCTTCTGAAACAGGGTATTTATGCGTGGAATACCTCTGTCCCATGAATCCTGTAGATTCCATTACAGTCAGCATGT